TGCCAAACTCAATACATGCATATTCTTGTTTCATGCTATACCCAAAAGGTAATATCATCTGGCTCTTTAGTGCGCTAACCGCGTGACTGCTGATGCGCAGCACGGAAAATGGGTGTGGGCCAGAGTTCAGGGACTGGCACACCAACGTGCGCTCAATGACAATGATGGGAAACCCGATGGAGCCCATGATGCTACGATGATTGAGACATGGAATCGTTGCCTCAAGAGTCGAGTTACTAACATACTCGATTGCCAGGATGAGTGCGGGAGTGCTTCAAGGTCTCGACATGTGGATGTTGCGGCTTGAATTAAGCTTGGCTTCAGAGAAGCGCAACTGTTGTGTTCCCCCTACCTCGATCTCCGAATCCCCCAGGAACGAAGATGCCATCAGCGGCTTTGAGCTGTGCCTCAGTGAGCTGACCGTCTGACGAGTTGTGATGCTCCTTCACTCACGGGGCCGCCGCCTCTGCACTGGCTACCCGTTTCAGCTCATCTTCATAATTCGGGCTGTCTTTGCTTGGGAGCTCCAACAACGTTGCGTCCATCCAGTCCTTGTGAGAAAGCAAGGCTAAACTGGGATTTGTTGCACGAACCCTTGTTCTGCAAGAGTGCTGTGGACTGAGGGCGCATCAACTTTGAGCTTTCCTGACAAGCTTTTGGCAGCAGAACCAAGCGGGAATCAATGCAAAAGATCTGCATCCAAAGGGCTTGTAACAGCGACCGCAGCGTGATGCAGCGCAGCGATGACGGACTGGTAAGCATCCCCACCTCGGTAGCATGTCGAGTAATTAGTCTGCAACATCTGTGACCCCCAGCTGAGTTGGGCACCACCCTTGTTGTATTTCCCGACGAAAGCAATTGTCACAGGCTTAGAACCTTCGGCCTTCCGGATATCAGATAAAAACACTTGCAGTTGCAGTGCACATTTCCCGCCTGATCTACTTGGTCAGCGAATCTGCCCCAGTCGCTCAAGGTGCGAAGCATGCTTTTCTGGCGACCTTTGAGCTGCAGGTTTGACTGTCGTCGAGGGCTGCGAGACAAGGAGCCGTCCGAGAACGATTATTCACGATTCCATTACCAGCAAATGAAAATGATGATTAGTGACAAGTGATTAGGCATTGAGGTGCATGCTTGTTTTTTTCTGCGCCCTCTCATCGGAGAATCGATTACGTTAGTACCAATCCCACCTTGTGTCAGATGCTATCCTGCGTGCTGATTCAGCTAAGCGTCCCAAGGGTGTTGCCTTTGAGACCTTGCGCACCACCGATCAAAAGACTGCACTGCAATTCTTGGCTGGCTTATGGAATTGGCGAGTGTCGTCACAGTGCAAGACGATGGGCAAAGTGTCATGACTGACTTACACACCGTCTGCCCAAACGGCCAGGGGACGTCCAAGTCATCAAGCTTCAACAGGCCATTCATCACGCCAACCAGGTGCTGCTGCGCAAAGATTCCTTCCGTGGCTCGTGCTACTGGTCAAATTTGCACGGTGTATGCACGTGCACTCCTGGCACATGGAAAAGGTTCTTCACATCGTGGGCGCTGATGATGCGGCTTGCAGGAATGTTGCACCTTGACAGTTCGCCATGATCTTGGTGAAGCTTCCACTAGTCTGCTATGCTGGGGTCATGACTGGTTTGCAATCTTCTTCCGTGTCTCCTCAACGACAGGATCTGGACCTGAGCAAGCTGCAGTCCAGTACCAAGGCAAGTGGCTAAGCATTGCGCCTGCTTTCGGCATGTGAGGCCTGTGCATCGGCAGATTATCAGGTCTGGCTGGACACCTGCCATGCCAGCCACGACCGCTAGCGGACTTCTGAAAATAGCTCAGCAGCTTGCCTAAGCCCAACAATGTCTTGACCTCAGATCAGACACGTTAAAGAGTACCAAGTCTACCAACTGAGTGCTAAAGATCCAGCCCTGAGGATACAATAGGCGAGCTGCTGAGTGCTGTGTCGGCTTGGTCTTCTGGCCGCTCATGTTCCTCAGCGCTGTTCTACTGAAGACAGCGCTGACGTTTCTTCGCAACTTCGTGGCCGTAAAAGTCCTTCAGGACACCTACCCATGCCCCAAACTCCAAAGGCGTGGATGCAGATGAAGAACGGAATGTAGGAGCAGTGGCACCAGGCCAAAGAGTTCCTGAGATTTGTTTCTGCATGTTCGCATGACAGACTGCGTAGTGCGCATCTGATCTGTGGCCGTGCCAACGCTGAAGAAAAGTTAGGCGTCTCCGGCAGGTTGAACTTGAGTTGACGCAGGGCCTCTATGAATGGCATCGACTCAATGTCGCCGATCGTCCCGCCGAGCTCAATCATACCTTGTCCCAGTGACACTTGGCGATTCTGGCCTGATGTTACCTCTTCACATGAAGTAGCAGCGCATACTCTACTGCCAGTTGCCGTCCGCGTGCAGATCTGGGGCCGCAGTGTGGTTCCATCTGCACATTTCCTCGCGACACCTAACGTGGCTGTCTGGAGCACACAGCCGACAAAGCATGTCAGACTTCTGCTTGGAGATTCCGGCAATCCCAAGAGCATCACAGGGTCTCTTTGTTTCCTTCAATTCTGAAGCTTGGAAAATTGGAAAATTGGAGGTTCTTTGTTTCACCTTGTGCAGCTTGGCAGCTATCGATCCATGAGATGATCTCGCCGGTGATGTGTGGAATGACTTGGACTGTTTTGCCCAAGTACTTTCCCTCGCGCTCCTGGCCAGTTGAAAGCAAGCTATGACTTTTGGATCCTTTTGGCAACTCTTGTGCTTTCTTTGAATAGAGCTGCATGTAGAATAAACGGATGTGTTCGCCTTGAACAGCTTCACGCACAAAACAACAGGCTCCTTCTTGATGACAGACTCGTAGACTTTGCCGGTGGTAAGGTTGTTATCCCTCACAGTACACAAGGGATAGCATCCAAATGCTCTTCTGCCTGGCTTCTACTTCATGAAGTACGTGCTTCAACAGGTAAAACCGTACCAACATCCATACTAAATGGCCGGCAAGGTACCTTCCAAGAGAGAGGTACATCATCCGTTCGTAGTTTCCCAGGTCCAGGTCTGTTTCTCCGCCATCGTCCAACCTGCACTGCATGGTAAGACTCTGGCGCAGCTGGCATTTCAGTTTGTGCAGCCAAGCCACACATAAACCTGCAACGGAAGGCCATCCAGTGTCAGCACAAGAAGGCAAATAAGCTGTTGGATTCTCAACGCGTTCTTGCTGCACAGCATACAACTTCCTGCCTCGCCGTGTTCGTACCTCAGTATAAGTAACAAGCGGTTCAAGGAATGGTCCTACGGACATGCCTATTGCAGTTGAAAGGCGGGCTCATCAGGCCAGCGTCAATGTTGATGTACGGATCCATCTTGATAGCGGTGACCTTTTTTGCTGCACGATCGCAAGCACGTACAGTGGCGTGACTGGCATGTTTAATATTTAAGGCATGTGCCCGGAAACCATGGCCACGGAGGAGCGCTCCAATCGAAGATGTGGCAACACCCTGACATGGAGAAGGCCATGAGTGACAATGAATGCAGGGCCCGTCTTCCACTGAGCCTTTCCAAGTGAGCTGCACACTCCGCCAGAAACCACGATGTACTTTACCGCCTGCTTGATGCAACATGAACATAATTGGTCATAGTAGCAGGTAGCAGGCTGACCTGATCGACTTGAGGGCGGAAGGCTGCTGTTGCAGGCGAAGGTGGGGGCAGCAAAGTGCCCACCGATTCTCCAAAGTCATCCTTGGCACAGTCTTGTGCCTGCGTGAGCCCCATGCCGAACTTACAAACCGAGGTTCCGGGGGAGCAGGTGATGGAGGCGGGAAGAAATGGTAGTCCGAAGCCGCCGAGGCTGCTGAAGCTGTTGAGTCTGTCTTCCTGCATCATGCGAGGTAATGTCCAAATACCTTGTAGAGGATCCCCGAAATCAAGAGAGCGCCCGTTTTTGAGAGAAACCGACACAGGTGGCATTGGGACCTGCCTCAGCTTGGCCATCCTCGTCATCTGCTCCAGGGTCTCATCCCTGTGTCTGGTCCGAGAATCTGCCCTTGGGTGACAGTCTGCCCAAGGTCCCTTTGCGGATATGAGAAAGCATGACACTAAGATCCACACTCGATCATGATGGACTAAACCAATGAAACACCCACGCGTCTGAACAACAGCGGCTGCTGCAGGTTTGAAACCTACACCTCACTGTCCAAGAGAACCACGCACAGCGGTTTAACTTTGCTGTCATCTGTCACTGGGGTATGGCTGCTTACTGTGCCGTCTCTTTCCTCTCCTGCAGAGAAACTGCATGTCGAAACTGTGCCACGTGAACGGAAATTCCAGTCATTCCGCAGCCTACATAATCCAGGAAAGCACAGGGCAGAGGGCAGTGCTGGGTGCCCCGCTCATGTGGAGCGTAGCGATGCTGTGCAATGCTTGGGCCTGAGCGTCATGCTCATGCGTGTAGCCAGCCTGTGGCCTGAGAGGCTCTGAAGCAAGCTTCCCAAGATTACAGCAGGCAGCCTAGACTCCAGGGGTATCTCAAGAGCCAAGCAAAGAAAAGCTTGGATCCCGGCGGCACCCTTCTTATCTCTGGCCTGATGCTTCCAGCATTTTCCAGCAGTTCATATATTTCCTGGAAACCAACTGCCGGCCTTCTCCCTCACCAGGCGCTCCTTCCGAGCAGCCTGCGTGCACTCATGACGTCTGGCGACTGTCCGCGCTGGAAGGTTGCTGCAATAAGGCTTCAGCATCCAGGGCCAAATCGAGGTCTCCCATCTCCTCGAGAGGAATGCTTGTCTCGTCTGCATGTTGTCATGCAATGGTACAAGTCACTAGCACCCATTGATTTTCGGCTTCGCCGGCAATGAGCTCTTCTGCTCTCTTACAAAGTAGCAGAGAGCCAGGCTGATAGACCCCAGCTCTGGCTCTGCTACTAATCTAAGCATAACATTAACAGCGACTAGAATGGACATCCCAAACTTCGGTCTGCGCAAACCAGGCAAGACTTTGCCCGCCCCTCTCAGCCGAAGAGTTTGCCTTACGCCATATGAGCTTTGGTGGGTGCAGAGTTTCACAGATTTCACGGGTCTCTACGCAGAGGCCAGGCTCCGAGGCAAGCTTTCTGGCTGTCCGCACACGTGTTAGCTGAGCCATCAGCCAAGCCCAAACCAGTCATCAACGGCCTAAATGGATGCCGAGCTGCTTCCATCTGCATGCAAGTTGCGCCTTGTGAGTCGCTTGGGGTCCCGCAGTCAGAACTTCTCGCCGCGGCGCCGCTTGAGCCTCAAGCAGGCTATCTGTGCTCCAGAGATGATCGACGGCAGGTCACTGAAAAATCTGTAAGACTCCTGCAGGTGCAGCTTCAGACTGCGATGCGTCTTCCGCCTGCTCATCTTGTTTGCCTTGCTGCAAAGCTGCCTAGGCCGAGACAAGACTGAGCATAAATGCTGACAGGTGCAGCCATTGAAAGCTGTAGCAAGACTGGGAATGCTGCCCGTTCGGACTCCCACATCGGTCGAGGGGCGGCTGTCTCCCCCTGCAAGACAGCTGCAAATCTTCATAAGGAGTCTTAGACGTGAGCTGCATCATTGTCCAATTCCCGCCTCTGGCAAACTATCTTCTTGTTGGCTGGCAGGCTCCTCTGGTGGTGACTTTTCTGGCGTGACTGCAGATGGCAGTTCCAGGGCAGTCTCCTGAAGCATCAGCTGTTGATAAACCAACATCAATACAAAACTTTGGGTCTTTGTCCTTGGACACAGCTCTGCATCCGAAGAACTCTAAACAAACCACAGAATGCGCCTGCTTTGCCGAGGAGTCGGGCTGAGGGGGCAGAGGTTCCACAGGGACCTGCCCATGCCATGTTCAGAAAGACAGAAAATCGCGGATGTCCACCTCGAAAACTACTGCTTAATACAAAAGCCATGATGAGCACAACTTCAGTGTTACAATTCCCTGCATCACCCCTGCTAACAATATTGAACTACAAAATGCTCAAAATGAAAAATGATGATTATTGAAGCATGTTGCACTGTTTTCGGTTGACATCGCAAAACAGCTCATCCATTAAGAGCCGGCCTCACCACGCAGGCTCGCCAACATTGGCGCCAGATAATCTCCACGACTGCGAAGCTTGTCGTGGGACCTTTGATCTGGCTAACAATACCCACTGCTTCCGGGCTCAGAACGTGTACGTAGGCGGGTAGGAGGACTTGCAAACTGAGCTGCTCTGAAGGGGAACTGGAAATTTGAAGAGCGGCGGCCCTCGCCTCAGCTCAGAAGCTCTGAAAGCATGGGAGGCATGCTCAAGGCTTCTGCTGCTGCTGCTGTTTCTGAAAAGCAGACCTGGAGGCGATGAAGATGAATATAAACTATATACACATCTACATATATGTCAGAGAGAGAATGTGTGTATATATATATATAAAACTGATACATGGTACCCCCTCAATGAACCTGCTCCTGATTTTGACACCTGTCCGTTATTGCCATGTGCGAATACTACATATTTTTTCTTCGTGGAAAGGCGAGAGCATATGGGTTCGGATAGGTTGGCGTTTGAGGATGCTCAATGACACTGCACGAAGGAAGCACACAAACCGCGCTAATCCATCAAAGCAACGAAGCCCAAACCACAAAAACAGGCGCGATCACAGCCGATCCACCACAACAAAAAAAGTCAAGCACAAAAAACAGCAAGAAACAGCAACTTTCTGGGACTTCTGGATCTTGGTCCCAAAGGCCAACACAATGTGTTTGCTTTTTGCGTCTTGGTCTGGTTTAGACTTTTGCTTCTCACAATTTCGGTTCGCACAGTAGATCGTGCTTGGACTTCGACACCTGTCCGTGAACTCTAGTTGTCATCTACCGGAATTTACGAACTCCGAAATCCAGGATCCAGTACTTGCCAAGTCAGTTCCAATTAAGTTACCAAAGTGGCGGGTAAGGGAGAGGCCCAAAACGCGAAATTCAGAAAGCTACAAATATTCTGGTGACTTGTGTGGCTAAGAAGCGGCTTCACAGTCTATTTGTTTGCAGTTGGCTTCTACAGGACGTCGTGTTATGGACCATTCGAATTGGGTTGCTTGAAGTGGGTTTTGTATAGAAGTAACTAGGAAGTCGACAAAGCTGATTAGATTGAGCGTGGGTTTTCAGCAGACTTCATCAGTTGGGAAACACGCGCAGACATTCGTAACTGAATTTGCCTGATCTGGAAATGAAATGAGAGTGAATGAAGGAAAAAAGTGCTCACGCAGAAAAGGAGACATTGAAGGAATGGGCTGGATCGTACTGATTCACGTCTGAATGGGCTTCCAGACAGAATCAAGAACCCTCCAAAAATTGGTGAACCGTGGTGATTGTGCTATTGCTGAAGGTGTTTTACATAGAAAGATGTTCCAGGAGCGGGCGAGGGCTTAAGTAATTGTGGTAGCTTGTCACACGCAAGTTTTATTCATTTACGTAGTAGTTTGACCGCTTGAACTTAGTTTTTGATAGACTCCAGGGCCTTTAGGAGTATGCACAGCCCCCAATTCAACTTGGTTAGTGTTGAAGTGGCTTCTACATACATAGGGATAAGTTCAATTGGATTCTACATGGGATCTGGGGTCTTCCAGCAATAGAGGGTTCTTCTTTTAGCTTGACTACTTGAGGGTTCTATATACACTCACAGGCGTTCTAGGAATATGAGCCTGGTTCGCTCTGTTTAGCTTTCAGTTCGCTCTTATACAGGTCCTGATTAAATTTCATTGGGGATACTCATGGAGGGCCTTGAGCAGGACTGGGGAGATCATTTTCAAGGATATAATCTTGAGAGACTACGGAATTCCTTGATCTCCTAGAAAATGATTGCTCGGTTAGGTGTTTAATTTTCAGAGTTCTAGAAACTAAGAGCCTTCAACTATCAGCTATACATGAAGCCCAACTAGCGACTTGTCAAATTCGATCAGGGTACCGCCCATTTCCAGTAGGTCCCTGATCATATGAAAAAGCGGACAAAAAAGTAATCAAATTGAATTAGAATTCCACCCATTCCTAGAAGAAGTCCTCCGGTCTACATAGCTAAATACAAGTCTGACCTGTTTCAATTAGGATACTCTCGTTCCTAGGAGTCCATTAATCTTATAGAGCAGCAACAGAACAACCAATCCCTTGAACTAGAACTCTGGCTGTTCCCTGAAGTCCTTAAGTCTGCGTAAAGTCCGCATAGAAGCATATGTAGAATCAAATGGATTCCACATTGCAAGCGGTCTGGGGCTTTTAGATGCAGCCTTTTAGGATTCCAGGCCTCCCATTCTCAATTCATATCAAGAGAGGCATCGTTCATTTCATAGAGTGAACCCGTATGGAAATGGGTTACATTTGCCAAAACATGTCAAGGCAAGCCTGCAACAAACTTGAGCAATCTTTTCTACATGGGGTATGTCCATAGAATCACTGAGGTTACTGCCGAATCTGCAAGTTCCTGAATGCTGAATGGCATCAATTTTAAGGGGGCCTGTAATCTGAAAAGATTGAGGGTTACCGCGGTTCTGGGAGTCTGGGACCTTCAAAATGCTGAGATGCGCAGAAACGCCAGGAGGCCCCAAACGATTGAAACGACTCAATCTTTTGAAGATCTTGGGAGTTGGCCCCGAACTCAAAAGATTGGGCCTGGGAGTCTGTTAGCTCCAAAGTCCTGAGAAGCCGGGTCTATTTTTTTTTTGTTGCCAGGACCGCGGGCTGGAGGCGCGAGCCGCAGTCCGCGGGCAGCAGGCCGCAGGGCGGGCCACGGACCCGGGCCTCGGGCTGAACCAGGCCGCGGCCACGCGAAACGGGACGGGCCGCAGCTGCAGCCTCGGGCCGCGGGCACGCGCCCGCTAAACCCCAAAAAAACACCAAACCCCAAAAACCCTAAACATCCTAAATCCTAAAAAACCTCAACCCTCTAGATATCCTAAAAACCCAAACCCTGAATACCTAATAAGCCCCTAGACACGCTAGACCCAAAAAACCCTAGAAGCCCTTAACCCTAAAAACCCTGAATTCTAAAAAACACAAACACTAAAAACACTAAACACCAAACCCTAAACATAGTAAACCTTAAAAAAACCCTAGACACCCTAGACCCCAAAAAAACCTCACCCTGAAACCCCAAACCCCCTAAACCCTATAAACCCTTATAACACCCTAATTCCTAAAAACTCTAAGCCTCAAAAACACTAAACAAACTAAACCCTAAAAATCCTAAACCCTATAGATACCCTAAAAAGTAACCCTAAACCCTGAATATCTAAAGCCCCTAAACAGGCTAGACCCAAAAAACCCTAGAAGCCCTTAACCCTAAAAACCCTGAATTCTAAAAACCACAAACCCTAAAAACACTAAACCCCTAACCCTAAACATAGTAAACCCTAGACACCCTAGACCCCCAAAAACCATCACCCTGAAACCCCGAACCCCCTAAACCCTATAAAACCCTAAAAACACTTAACCCCAAAAACCTTAAACACCTTAAACCCTAAAAAATCCTAAACCTTATAGATACCCTAAAAATATCACTAAAATCTGAATACCTAAAGCCCCTAAACACGCTGGACCCTACTAAAGCCACCAGAAGCCCTTAACCTTAAAAACCCTAAATTCCAAAAACCAAAAACCCTAAAAACCCTAAACACCACTGACCCCAAACATAGTAAACCCTAAAACAGTAAACACCAAAAACCCTCAGCCTGAAACCCAAAA